ACTCCATGAAAGGACTCAAAACAAAATCGCACAACTCACTTTTTCTAAAAATAATAATATTTGGACGATTTCCAAGATTTTGGAGATGATATTTAGTAAGTTGAAGGAACAAAAGAACAAAAATTATTAAAAGGGGCATGTTCAGTTACAGCTGCAGTAAAGCAGCCAAGCATGGTGGAGGTAGTGTCATTGTCGTGTCAGGATGGGTTGGGGGGTTGCTGTAACTCATAGGATCCTGAAATCAGGCCATATGCACGTTCTTGAAAGTTATTTCTGCTCAGGTTTGACACAAGAAGATTAAATCCTTTATTTTTTGCCCACATATTGTCTGCTTGGATTGGGAAGCATTTTTTCTTGATCAGTAAAATCACAATTATTAATATTTTTTTGTTTTTGCTTTGATCATCCATCATTGTATATATAATTTCTGTTTGATTTTTACAAAAAGAAAGCAAAAACAGAAGAAATGCTTAGAAGAATAGAATAGAAAACCCCTTTATTGTCCCACAATGGGCAAATTCCGGTGTCTATAATAACAATTTTCCCAACAAAAATTTAGGAAATCAGAAAGTCATGTAAATGCATGCTTTAAATACACGCTTTGTAGATAGCTGCTTTGCATTTTGTAGAACATTTACAGGTTAGTATGCTGCTTTCATGCTGAGATTGATAGAATGAGATGAATCTTTGTGAAACAATGATGCATGCATCTGTCTCAGCCTGTACAGAGCCGCCCCCATTCTAACAGAGCATCAGAACCCCGCCCTGCAAGACAGGACTGGCCGGATCTTAATTAAAAGTCTTGACCCCTAAAAGAAGAGGACAGAGGCAGCACTGTCCAACTGGACCTCTGCTGCTAAAAATAAGATCAACTACGGCCTTAAAGTTCAAGCAAATTTATAATTTTCTGGAGGGATTAAAAGGCATTTAAAAAAAAAGTTATATATGGTGTTTAATCTACAGAGATTGGAAATGAAAATTGCTGCTGATGGAAGATCAATTATTTTTGTATGAAAAGAAGGATTTTAGAAATATGTCGACACTTCATCAGTCGTTGGATGTAATTAATAGATAGATGTATTTCAGATTATAATATTTCAATTTCAAAACACTTCTTATGGCATAATTTGCTATTATGTCCTTTGACTTACATCTATCCTACTGTAAGGGTTTTCACGCTCTGGGCATTTCCACTAGATGGCGCTGTGTTCTTACAAAATGTCTCCAAAGCCTCTCTAAAATAATTCTGAAAATAAGTGCAATTTTAACTGCAATTAATAAAGAAATACATGCAGTGAGTTTTGTTAAAATCATCATTAAGCATCCAGTTAAAACACAACTTATATAATTTAACCCTCCAGCAACCCGAGACATTTCCTGTGTTTTATTATTTATGCGTAACTTTACCCTTGGTGACGCTAAAGACACTGAAGGTTGACAGGTAATCTGCTTTTCCTCAAGTTCCTTTATATGTTTTTGACCTAAGTAGAACAAGGTAAAAACCTTTTGTTTCAATTCATTTATATATATATATATATACACAATTCACATGCCATTTTAAGGCACTTAAATCTGATCATGCAGACAGACTTGTCTATGTTTAGGAGTCCAGGACTTAACACTAAATTTAGGCCAGAATCTCTTGTATTATTGAAGGAGATGAAGGCAGCAGCTCCGCTGATGTTCAGATCCAGAACGGTGTCACAGTTAAACAGAACCAGAACAGATGAAGCTACTATGACAAAGAAAAAGCAGAGATAATATTTAGAGGTTGATCACTGGAAGAAATGACAATCTAGATAGGTCATTTTTTCATAAAATAAGTGCATTTGTTCTTGAATTGAGATTAAAGAGACATTTGCCAATGGAAGACAATTTAGATTTAAAATTAGAAAATATAATTGCATTGTCTTATTTGAAGTGCATTTTATCTAAATCTTATTTTAAGAGTAGAAATACTCATGTTGGCAAACCATCTCATTTACCCACTCAAATTAAGGGTAAATAAATTTAAGTTTTTTACTTATTTTTAGATTGTTTTTCCAGTGAGAATAGAGAAAGATACTGCTTTCCTGCTGGCTGAAAAAGCCATTAAAAACCAGGAACAATCTTTTAGTTATAAAAGTTTCAGAACATAACATGTTTACAAGAAAAATAAATGTGACTTCAGAGGTTAAAATCTACACGAGCTGAAGCACAGGGAGGCCACTAAAATGTTAATGTAGAAGGCCATGCTTCTCACACGATCTGTTCAAATCTGTTGTGGGAAATAAAAGCCAGACTTTTCTGCAGCATAATGTCTCAAGACCCAATTTTTGGCCATTTCATGTTAAATTAAGTTTTAGAAAAACAGTGAAAGTTCCAATATATCAAGCTGCTCAGGTAACAAGTCCAGATTAACTTCTGTACAGTGGATGCAAACAGGGCTTTTTCAAAAAGAGTTTGCAGTCAATTGTCTAAGATCAAGGTTTACAATAAGCAGTTTTTGGGCTTGAAAAATAAGACTGTAAAGTGTCCTGAGATGACTTGTAAATTGGTGCTATATAAACTGAATTGATTTGTAAAACTTATAGGTTGTAAAGCATTCAGTGGATTAAATCCATTCCATACTTTTCCCCATTTCCACCATGTCAGAAGTGTTAATTAAATCTAGATTTGAGGCCAGGTTTTATGAAATTTAAAAGTCACACCTGCCCATAGCTTCAATTAAGCATTTATAAAATGCCACTTGTCAAATAAACACCGTTAGTGTTTAACATGTGCAATGGTCATTTTCAAAGTCATACAAATTAATAAGCTCAGCTTGGTTTTCAAAGATATGGGTCTCATATGAGCTTTTCATATGAATGAAACATACAGAAACAAAAATTCCAGCTCAAAATGTTTATTCAGAGAATCAGAAGACCATTACAATAAGACCAACTACTTCAGACTTCAGCAATACAACACTTCCACATCAGAGAACGATTAGTTTAGATCAAGAGAATGCCTCAAACAATGGAGTAGGAGCTTAGCATGAAAGATTCATTAAACATTTAAACTCCATGTTTTCTTTTGGAAGAGGGTGCAGCATTTAGCTCTTGCATTTCAGGGTGTGTTTGTCAAACAGGTACTCCGCCATCTTGTTGTTGTGGGCGTCCATGCGGGTCAGGTTGGTGATGTGATCTCCAAGCTTCTTGATGGCCTCCACCTGCTCATCCAGATAGTTGGACTCCAGGAAGTCACACAGCTGAAAACGGACACATTTAGACGTTAGACTTTAAACCTTCACAATCTTCCAGTTAAAAGCAATCCTTTTACTTACATGGGGATCAACATGATCAGAGGCCAGCTTGTGCAGATCCAGCAGAGCCTGGTTGACGTTTTTCTCCAGCTGCAGGGCACACTGCATGGCCTCCAGGCCGCTGCCCCACTCATCCTTCTCTGGTTTCTGGAAAAGTGAATAGATCATGATCAGATCATGCATTTTCAATACACATAAATATTCCTGTCTATATATGGTCATTTTGCTCAACAGTAAATTGTTACAAACTTATTTTTTCCTGATTGAATTGCTTTGAGGCGACATCTTATGAACTACATAAATATTTAGCTTATTTCTACCTTGACATCCTGCAGGAAGATGCGGCCTCCTCTCTTGTTCTGGAAGGAGAGCAGCTTCTCGGCATGCTCCCGCTCCTCATCGCTGTTCTCCTTGAAGAAGTGGGCGAAGCCCGGCAGAGCCACGTCGTCACGCTGGAAGTAAAATGCCTAATGGGAAAGAAAAAGCCGTAAACTATAATTAAAACCTTAAAACCCATCATCAAGGGAAAGATAATGATGGTCAAGCTGTGTGAGTCATGGCGGAGTCTGACCAGACAGCATTTCCGTGCATAGTGGACCATCAGGCACCAAATAAATACGGTTATAGTAATAACTGAGCGTTTCTTACCATAGAAGTGTAGGTGTATGAAGCAAACAGCTCCATGTTGATCATCCTGTTAATGGCGGCCTCGCAGTCGCGGTGGTAGTTCTGACGCACCTGAGAATCCATCTTGGCTGGGCGGTTTTCTTGTGCTTTTCTTAACAAAAAAAACGTTAGAAAAATAAAGCTTAACGTTGGTGTGATTCAAGTAGAAGCAGGATTGGAATATTTCCGGAAGACAGGCTGCTCGGTTCGAAGAAAGTTCGGGAAGGAAGAGAAGTTCCGTCCAAACACTGTTGAAGCAAGAACTCCTAGAGGCTTTGTTCCCCGGTCTGAAATGGCAGCTGGAGCCCTACCGCTATTTATACTCCTGGGCAGACCTCGTGACTGACGTTGACGTCTCACCCTACAGGTTTCCACCAATCAGGACGCGAGAGTCATATAACAGAGATGTAACATAAAACAAGATGAAACAACAGCATTTTATCCTTTGTTAAATACAAGAAATCATTAAATTAGATTATTTATTTATTTTTTGCTTGTTTAACCTTATCTTCCCCAGGATACCACGTGCAATGACGATGTGTTTTTCTTTGTATAGAAGCAAACCGATTAGCAGTTTTAAAACAATGATGATAATTGTATTTAAGACACCCTATCTAAAGTAAATATTAGTGAATTGATCATTACTTTAAAACGTCCTCTCTAAAATAAAATCAAATTAAATAAATGAACCGACTGCTTAATTGGATCCAGTGTTCACATAGTGTTCCTGAAGTCTTTTATTCTTAATACTAAGGAATACCAAGATTAAAAACAAAAAAAAAAGTCAAAATTTCAGGTCTTTTTTTAGTGAATTAATCTAAAAGTGCTACAGTTTCCGTAGTTGTCTAAAACAATTGAAAACATAACATAGTGGAACAAAGCCTCCCTCTGTTAGCTGTTTTCTTCTTCTTAAAAGAAAGATAAACTTTGCTATTTGGAAAAAAAGGCAACTATTAATCTCATTAAGGTCAAGCTTTTGGAAGCAAAGAGCTGTTCTAATCAATTATCAAAATATATACCAAAATTGCCACAGAAGAGAAAAGTTGAAGGTTCAGAACAATAGGATGACATAAAGCAAAAGTGGACAGGAGACATATGTAGATCCTAATGGAAGAAGAAGTCAGAAATAGAAAAATATTGCCTGATGATACCAAAGATTACAAAGTGCTGAAATGAAATTTAAATAATTCTTTAATAAGAAAGTATGTAAGTTCAATGCTTTACAAAAAGGAAATCAAATGTTGTCCTAACTTTTTCACATCATTTACATTTTTTTTACAATTTGCAACATGTCATCTCACTTAAAAGAGTCAAACAAATCAGACAGACAGTGTGGCTTAAAAGTTTTACAAGCAAAGTAATCCCACGATGTGTAATTTTAAGGTGTGACATGATTGATCATGGTCTTATTCTTTAGACATAAAAACTTTTGAGATCCGCTGTTTTTATACCTGAATTGAATGTATCTGATTTTATGAAACTTCATAAATGTACTGGACTGAACGACTGAACCTTTTTTTTTTCCTAACTCACAAGGCACCACATGACTTTTAAAAGTGCTGACGCAGTGCTAAAATAAAACCAGGGTGATTTTTATGGCTTTACGCAATACCAGAGGAATGTTGCGAGACGTTACAGAGCATAAAATGCTTCAGACAGCATGTCATTAAACCAGGAAATAGTCTGTTAAAGTGAACAAAGATCCTGACTCTCTCTGAGTTTTAATGTCGGACGTATTGTGCCAGGGCATTCAAGATGATCTTATCTTTATATATATATATGGTCCTAACAAAGTAAGGGAAACACATCAACTTATAATTGCAGGGCGTAATTTCTTGTTGCTATTGTTTCGTCCCAATGCCTCAGTCAGGTAAAGGCTTGCCTGTCTGGGCAGCTGCTTTGTTTAGCACCTGTTCATACAGCATAACCATAGCCCTGCATGTGCTCTTTACAAAGCACCTTCTTTACCTTTTTTAAGGAAGTGCAAATGACAGACATTTATGCAAAGAGATAATAATGATTAAAAAATCACAGCAACATACAGTATCTTCCAATCTTTAGAAGTGGATAACATAGCTCTCTGATTCGCTGATAGCAAACATGTAAGAAAGACATTCTGAAAGAAGCTCAGGTTGTACAGCAAGTGATGCATTAAAGACCTCTTCATTTATGGCCCAACTGCCTCTGACAGTGTTTTTTTTATTTTCTCTTATAATAATACTTAATAAACTTTTTCAAATTATTTGACTTTAGAGTGAGACAAGAATGTATGTATGTAATAGAGCTCTGCTTATTGTTTCCCTGCTGGGAGTTAAAGCTCCTCCCTAACCTTTTGCATTAATTTTAGGTATTGCATTTTGCTGAGTTTCATTTGAACTGAAAGTTTCTCCGCCCCCTGCTGAGAAAAAAAAGGATCCCTGCAGCATGATGCTGCCACTACCATGTTTCACTGTGAGGATGGTGTGCCTACATATGGCATTAAAGCACAAAAAGTCAAAAGGTATAGCTTTATTTCACGACTGATTCTACTGGATTGTACAGAATGAAATTTGATTTATTTTGAACCTGATACAAATATAAAAAAATAAAATAGTGCACAGTAACAAGAAGTGCATAAAAAAGAAGAGAAAAATTCAGATATTTGTTTCAATTAACATATCATGCTCAAAAATGGGGTAGGAAGAAGTGAAAACTTATTAACTCCTACCCCCTAAACACATAAAAACTTACAGTCCTACTGTTATAAAAAAAAAAATAAAAATCAAAGTCAAGTGAAAGTCAAAGTGGCAGTCAGCAGTTACTAATATTTACCTAAAACATTTCCCTTTTTATGCTGGTTTGTCTTTTCAAACCCTTACACCAAGTTGTTATCTTTAATACACACATTTTTGCTTTCTTTCACTCATATGTCTATCTCTATTGAAAATAACCTCCTTATATTTTCTTTTGAATTGTATTAAACTGTTGCTTTGTTTTAAATCTTCATTTAAGTTGTTCCATAACTTTACACCTTTAATTGAAATACAGAAGTTTTTTCTTGTTGATCGCAACTTGTGCATCTTTAAGTTTGAGTAACCCCTTAAATTATACCCCACTTCTCTTTCAGAAAACATGCTCTGTATGTGCTCAGGTAACAACTTTTTAGATACTTTGAACATAAATTGAGCGATTTTAAATTCTACAAGCTCGTCAAATTGGAGAATTCTGGATTTTTTGAAGAGTGGGTTTGTATGCTCATAATAACCAACATTATGGATGATTCTAATGGCTCGTTTCTGTAGGATGGTTACCGGATGTAAAGAGCTCTTGTAATTAACTCCCCACACTTCACGGCAATATGAAATGAGAATGAAAATATTGTTTTTCTTTCTTCAAATTTTGATTAAAACAAATTACTTTCAGATAATGTAATGTGGTTGAAGTGATGTAAGTTCCGGGAAGCAACCTCTTCCCCAGGGAGAAACATTTTAAATTGCCCAGGCTTAAAAGCAGCAATTACAGCTGACACATTAACAAAAGAACTTTGCAACCCCTACAGGGAAGGACACAAACATTGATCATTGTCTATCCACTTCACAACTGGACACCCACTCTGTAATATGAAATATCAACAGGTTCAAATCTGTGGTCGAAAAGTTAGAAACTGTAACAAACACTTTGAAAAGCCACTAATATAATATTTATTTTCAGGTGCAATTGAAGCGAAGACCAAAAATATTTAACTACAGATCCTGTAGGACACCCTGCCTTTGGGAAATAGAGGTTAACAAATCTAATAATTTTAAAAATGAAAATGTCTCTTTTCAGTCTGATCCTTGAGAGGAGTTGGACAATAAATGTTACTAAAACCACGTTTTTACACAGATTACATGTTTATGCTAAAACTAAATTTAACATCTAATTTCTTGATGTTTCCTTAAATATTCATATCTCTCAATTGACGATCATAACACATAAAATCATTAACTCTTTGGGGGAAATATAACTCAGTTTTAATTCAGTTTATTTCTATAGCACCAATTCACAACACATGTCATCTCAAGGCACTTTACAGTTCACCAGATCATACAGTCAAACTGATTCAAAGTTTTCTATCTAAGGAAAACCAGTGGATTGCATCGACTCATTGACTCTTCAGCAATCCCTCACACTAAGCATGCTTGTAGCGACAGTGGAGAGGAAAAACTCCCCTTTAACAAGAAGAAACCTCCAGCAGAACCAGGCTCAGTGTGAGCGGCCATCTGCTGAGACCGACTGGGGTTCAAGGAGACAAAAGCAGAGATACAAAAGACAGCTGTAAAACGCGGCCCCGTCCAGGAAACACAGCCAGGCAGACGATATAGATAAATAATCCCCAACAAGCAACTACTGAATATACACTTAATATGTTGAAGCCTGTTCCGTAATGTGCTGTTAAAAGTCTTTATTTAGAAGTGGAAGGTAAATGCCGGCCTGCAAATGTTCTGGAACATAAACCCAAACATTTAACTCTTAAATTTCTTTAATTTTCTTTCACAACTTTTATCTACCAGAAACTTGGGATCATATTTTTCCTTAGATGGAAAACTTTAATTCAATCTGACGTCATGATCTGGTTGAATTGTCTCTGGAAAGTGTATTAGGATGACATGTGTTGTGCATTGGTGCTATATAAATAAGCTGAATTGAATAAAATTAATTCGTTTACTGGGTTAAAGCTGATTTATTTACGTCGTGGAATAAAGAGCTAATTGGGAATTGTCATTTTTAAATGAATACAAAAATAGAGAAATGAGGAGTACATTGAAAAGTAAAGTAAAAAAACTGTAAATTACTTTAAAAAGGAAACATTTCATGTTCATAAACAGCTGAGATGAGGGACATAATATGATCCATGGTTATTAATCCTTAGTTTATTGTTTATTGTATCACCAATAAGCACATCTCTATTTACCGCTGTTTCACCTCCTAAACTATGAGAGTGACTCTGCATTTCTGATAGCAGCCTTGCATTACTTCACTGCACGGTCATATGACACCATGAATCAGCTTTTTCCAGCAGGGGGGAATGAATCAGCAGCAGATAGTGCAGTGTCACTGTAGTGACTCAGCATTCCTCAGCCTCAACGTTAAGCTTCCTGCTGCTCTGTTCCTCTTTGTCTGACATCAGTAGAGGGAGGAGATCCGGTGACCACAGATGTGTTTACCTCAGCAGTCTGCTGGCTGGAACCAGTTTAGGAAGAAAAAAAAGGAAGCAAAACTGGTTTAATGCTGGGAACAAACCTGTTTGGGTTATGTCGCTCTTTAATTTCAAACTACTGGAATGTGCTTGTGTCTCAGTCCGGAGTGAAGTGAGTTTTACTCCACGTTACCACAGACTGGGTAGTTTGTGACTAAATTAAAGCCTCAACTCACTAAAAATCTGCTGCTGCCTACAGAAACAGGCCAAGATAAGAAAAAAAGTGTCCAGGAAGAGTCAACATGCAGCTATTAAAAGTTGTATGCCCATATAAAAAAAAGAGCAAATCAAATTGATTATGGTAGAATAAGGCTGTATGCTATTAGCGCCCTTCCAATAGTGTTTCGATAGCCTTTTTGGAGCCTAAATAGAACTTTTGCACTGGGGCGCGATGAGCTGAAAGACTACCAGAATCCCCATTAATGACACAAAATCAGTCAGAATCCTGACACAAAATCACAATTCATCCATCAAAGTTATCCCAGGTTGGGTCACGAGGGGCTGCTGCCTATCTCCAGGTGTCAATGGGTGAGAGGCAGGGTCCACCCTGGACAGGTTACCAGTCCATCGCAGGGCAACACAGAGCAGCTAACATTTAAATCTAAATAAGTAGTTTTTTCTTAAAATAAATGCATTTGTTCTTGAATTGAGGAGGTAAGTGAACTTTGCACTTTGCTAATGGTACAAGACAATTTACATTTAAAATAAGAAAAAAACAATTGCATTGTCTTATTTCAAGTGCAATTATCTGATTTTTAGAGTAAAACTATTAATTCCATTATCAAATCATTCTATTTACCTACTCAAATCAAAGGTAAATACAGTTAATTTAAGAAATTTTGACTTATTTCTAGAGCTTTTTAGCAGTGAACGTCTTTGCAGTATACCTTGTGAAAAACCAAAAGCTGAGAGGACAAATAACGCATTGCAAACACCAGTAGCATTATTAGCAAGGACATGTACCTCCCTGTCTATCAGCATGGCATTGACATCAGAATGCTTCCTGAACTTGAATTTTAACAGTCTTGGCTGTCTAAACTACAAGTGTGTCTGTGCACAACCACTGTCCCCAAGTATTTAAATTCAATTCAGTTTATTTATATAGCGCCAATCCACAACACGTCATCTCAAGGCACTTTACAGTTCAACCAGATCATACAGTCAGATTGATTCAAAGTTTTCTATCTAAGGAAAACCATTGACTTGAAGGCAATTCCTCACACTAAGCATGATTGTAGTGACAGTGGAGAGGAAAAACTCCCTTTTAACAGGAAGAAACCTCCAGCAGAACCAGGCTCAGTGTGAGCGGCCATCTGAGGCCGACTGGGGTTCAAGGAGACAGAAGCAGACATAGGAAAAGAAGCAGAGATACTGATGATAAGTTTGAGGGGATTTGGCTGGGAGGGGCCATTTTGAATGGCTGCTACTGTAACTGTAAACTGGCTCTACAAAATAAACTCATTAGTTTTGTTTCATTTAAGCTAATTTTCGTTATGACCTGTTGGTGTTTTAAAAAAAAAAAAAAAACCATCAAAAAAAATTTGTTTCATCCAGACAATTTCTTTGTGGTTGCTCAAGGTGATGCAATATTAAATTTCACACTGTTACCATTAGTTATATAACTAAGAAACTCAAGAAAAAGTTCCTTTAATAGGGTAGCCTAATAACCTTTATGAGGTTTTCATCATCAGCTTTTCCTGAATTAATTTCACTTTTATAATTGTAGTTTAAAAAACAGTACTTTTACACTTTTACTTGAATAAAAAGCTAAAGTTAATCCTCTTATATCTACAAAAGTGTTTTTAAACAGGATTAATAGTTCTGCGTGAGTAATAAACATTACAACTATAAATAGAGTCAATTAGTCCAGGAAAGTTTCCATAGCAGGTTGTCTGATCAACAGCAGCCGGGAGCTTGATGTAATTCTCTCAGGTCACATTTAACTTTGCAGACTGTCTGAACTATTTTGCAAACAGTTGATTCACTCACACCCCACAGATCTGCAGTTTCAGAGTGGAAAGTTCCACAAGCCAAGAATCTCAGTGAAACAATCTTAGAAGGAAAGAGAAAGTTGTTCTTATGGAGTCAGATGAAATGTTTGTCTGAAGCAAACAAGTTGTCATCTTTGGTGTTTTTTCACACATACATAAACCTTCAATAAATCACTATTATGAAATTCATTCAGCTTTTTACTTCTATCTCTGATAAATCTTCTCTCTGCTCTTGGTGGTGATCTTCCTGCCTCTGGCCAGGTTTAACTTCAGGATATTCTCCTGTATAACTACACCTGGTTAAACGTTCATTAATAAGCATTTCCTCTCTTTTTTACTTAATTAGAAAAAAATTAAACCAATAAAAAGTAAAGTCAGCAGCCATATTTTTAAAAGGAAGGCTTTTATTCTGCCGATGCTTTGAAGAAAGTACAGATAACAGTTTTATAACATGTAAACTTCTGCGTGTAATAATCATATAAGCCCGATAAAAAAAACAGTTACCAGCACGTGTGAATTTAGCAAGTTAGAAATAAAGCAGATTAATCACAAAGCAGTGAATCAGAGGAACATTTGGTCAGCATTCAGGAAACTATTCAATAAAAACATCCATTCATTGCTCATCTTTTGAAAATGTCCTTTAATTCATGGCTTTTTATGCAAACAAAATAAATGTAATTCATTGAAGAAATCCAAGTTTTTCAAACATTCTGGAGGATATTTTAACTGCATAGTAAAAAATGGGCTTCAAGTTCATTTTATTCAACATTAATAAAGACATAATTGAAAAAAAAAACAAAAAACGAACAAGTGAGTCATTTTGAACTGAGTTAGCATTTTTTTTTTTGCCAAGTCATTGACAGGCCTCGTTATACTTGGTCACAGATGCACAAAGATATAATTGTTTTTACCACAGAGTCTCATTTAAAGACTGAGCTCAGTCATTTACATCAACACTGCAAGTCAGTTTGAAGCCCATAATAACACTTTAACCGTTTAGACCCTCAGACTTCTGACATGTAACAGGGAGGAAAGTCCAATAAAAACAGTTTGAAACATCAGAACCACTTTAAAAGGAACTGAAGCTTTTTTTTTTTTTTTTTACATAATAAACACACATTTCAATTGGTTTTTTAATATGAAGGACAAATGTAAAGTAATATTCTTGTGAAGTGAAAGGAAAAACAAACAAATTGCTGGATAAAAACAAAATATATGCTTAAGTGGTAACCTAATTTGTTAACAGATTCCACCTGTGTGAGACTAAGATTGACTTTTACTGCCTTTCTGCCTTCGTGCAAAACAGTTCATTTGGAAGAGAAGAGTAAAAATACTCAAACTAGAGGGTTAGATTAGCGGAGGAAACCATAAGGAGTAAAGTTTACAGTCTGCAACAAGCATATTAGAAACAGGACAAACTTGTTTCCTGCTAATTAAAGTCTGTTAGATTAAAGCCCAGAACAAAGATACAACTTTTAAATCCCAGTGGCTTATTTTCAGCCCTTGCAGGAGTAGATATGATCTCCAGGCATCCCCAAACTCAGTCCTCAAGGCCCCCTGTCCTGCAGGTTTTAGAGGTTTGCTTGCTCCACCACAGCTGATTTTAATTGAAAGCTGATTAACAGGCTTGTGGTCTACTGCAATCATTATAACCAGCTGTGCTGAAGCAGAGAAACCTCTAAAACCTGCAGGACAGCGAGCCTTGAGGACCGAGTTTGGGGATGCCTGATCTATACCATTCCATAAAAAAAAAAGTATTTATTTCTTTTTTATTTTCTATATGTTGGATTCTATTTCACATTTTCAGTTTGTATTTTACGTTGTTTAATAGCATTATTTTTGCATTTTTTTCCAGATCACATTCGTTTCCCTTCAAGCCTACGGTAATACTAATGTTCCCTCCTGGCCAATAAAAATGGGTCTTTGCTCCTCAGAGGAAAACTGATCTGGAAAACGCAATTTGAAAAGAGTGACATCCGTAAAATTTTATCTGAAAACAAAACATCTGTTAAAAAAAGAAAAACAATTTGAAAAAAAAAAATGAAATAAAGTCTGAAAAAGCAGGACAGTAACTCTGTAAACCTATTTATTATTAAAAGGTTTTTTTGTTCACTTAATGTTTTCTTTGCTTAAAACAATGGAACAAAATTCTATTATTAAGATAAATCTATTATTAAGACAGGCGGTTAAGTATTGTCTGATCAGAAATCCAAAATGAAAGAAAATCAAGGCAGTTCAACCAGACGGCCAATAAATCTGTGCACCAAAGTAAAACTAGTGAAAACAGTTTAGCTTTTCCATTCAATTTATTTCCACGCTCCACTTTGTTTAAATCTGTCAGCAAAGTTCCAGATGCTTCGGTTTGCAAAGTGAAAAAAAATAATAAATAAAATCCGAGGGTCTACATATTTTGCAAGGCACTGATTAGAAGTGGAAGTTAACTAAAGCGACGAACCGAGACCAAAAACGTAAATAACGACGTCTAGCTGAGAATCTGAAGCTGAGTCTGGGTTCTGAGAACCCATCAGAACCGATGTGGAAGTGATCCAGTATGGATGCAACACTGAAAGAGGAACTTATTCAACACTATGAGAGAAAAGTCTCACATCAACACATACCAGGATTGTTCTGTTTACGCTTCTTTACTTTGACAGACTGAAGAATTACAGCCCGTTTGTTTTAATCACAGTAGAAAAATATGTTAGTGAATTAAAAATAAAATACTGATCCTCTTATCTGATACATTTGGACAGATGGCAAAAAAAAATCATGTTAAGCATTGCTGTTAATAATAATAAACCTTCAAAATATTGCATGACTTTTGATTCCTCATCTTCATCTTACATATGTTTGTTATCTTTAGCAGGACTTATTTGTACGTTTAAACTTCTCAGGCTGAAGGAATCCAAACACTTTTCCACTGAACGGCGTTTCTCCACAGGTCTTCCAGCAGAGAAGCATCAGTCCGAGTCCAGTCCGCTCCAGCGTCGCTCGCCTCCTCGTCCTTCTGGCAGAAGAGTCGCAGCGTTTTCAGCGGGCTGGTGCAGCTGTACTGGAGGTACTGGCAGCCCTAAAAACGACACAGGACAGTGAAACCTCAGATTAAAACTTATCTTTTAATCATCATCAAGTGCATGGCATTGTCCTCACCTCTGCTCTGCCCCAGTACCAGATCGCCTTGATGACGCTGTGATTGGCCAGAGCCACTGTGAGCAGCTCTGGATTTCCTGTGATGATGTTTACCAGACCTGCTGGCAGATCTGAGGACTGGAGCACCTGGAGAGAGGAGGAAGAACAAAGAAACGACTCATTTAAAGCTCATCAACTCAGGAAAAGTGCTTCTAAGGTCAGATCTTGAAGGTTATGAAACAAAGATGAGAACTTCTGGGTCCATTTCATCACATTTTACTTATCAAAGGGAAATAATAATAATAATCGGCCAATACTGATATTTATGTCAATATATCGTGCAAATCCTTATTTTTTAACTTAACTGGAAATAGCCATGTTATTTGACTTTTATTTACATACATGGGTCAGCATTTCATAAATAGTATTTTTGATATTCTAGTTTTTAATAATAAATGTGCCATCACATTTAATTTCAATATTTTTTTGCCATCCTGCAGCATTAATTAGTTCCACCTGCAGAGATGTCTTTTCTTAATCATTATTTTACTGTTATTTCTGTTTCCATTCCCTCTCTCTGTACCAATACCTCTTTTTGGACAATAAATACTGCAGATATTTTTGCTTATCAAGAGTTTAAAATAGAAAAATGCAAAAACCACGACTGCAGTTGAGTTTCAGATTTGGAAAATCAGTTTGAAAATGGTAAATATTCATGTTTGCATATCCTCCACCCATGAAAAACCCATGAAGTTTGGTCATTACCGTAGATAAGATCTGCATGTTGATGCATAAAACTGTTTGCACACACTGTCTGCTGGACTGCAAAAGCAAATTAATTTGCACCTTCTTTGAAGATTTGCTCTCCAAAAACAAAAATCGATATTAAGACAGACTGTAATTATAGTATATAAGTACAAAGAACCTAATAGATGAGCTGATTGAAATGAGCAGAGCGGGCTGGTGATGGTGGTGTGGGTTAGTTTTCTATCACAGCTGCTAAAGTCCAATTAGTTTCTCCTTTACCTGAATGAAAGCCAAGGCGGGGAGCGGAAACCTCTGACTGGGAACCATGACGACAGCGTTGCCAGTGGCAATAGCTGCCCCTAGAACCGTTACCATGGAGAGGAGGGGATATTTGTCAGGTAGGATGATCCCAACGACCCCCAGGGCTTCGGGGAAGGAAAGGGCCGCACCGGACTGCGGCATGGGCTGTGGAAGAGAGGAAGCTGGTGAGACAGAGGAGTGTAACGCTGCTGGCTCCTGTTTGTTTCTCTGAAGAGCTTTACAGTTGGACCTAAACCTCTAAACGCCTCACCAGGGATCCACCTTGAAGTTTATCACAGTAAGCCGCCCAAACATTGAGCCTGGCGACGCTGAGCTCCACCTCTTTATCAGCTTCCTCCACTGAAACACCCAGCTGGGTGCTGACTGACGCAGAAACGTCCTTCTTCTTGGATTCTAAGCCTTTGGCCAGAGAGTAGAGGGACTGAGCGCGGGCAGACGGACTCTTCTTCATCCAGCTAAAGGGCAAAAAGACGTTAAGACGAATATCAGTACGCTTTGATGTTAACACATGGGTCAGTGGGATGAAAACGTTTCTAATGTGGATTTAAATACTGAAAAATTAAGAGCTTTTGAATTTTCCCCCATTACAGCCAAATAAATAAATAATTTAAAATATTGTTTTTTTTAATCTCATGGATGAACACAGAGATGCTGAAAGGAAAAATGAAAACTTTATGATTTGGTTTATTATTTTGGTATGGATACAACAAATCCCCTTCAACAGTCCACTAATTAGCAAATTAATTAAATTCTCTGATTCATCGTCTCTCTGTGCTCAAAGATAACATTTCTAATATAAAAGGTTTGATTGATGGTTCTGTTTAGATCTCCTCTTCTTTAATAGCAGTTAGTAAACAACCTTCAGGTACATCAGCACCACCGACTGGTACGGAGCGTTTCGCCTTTATGACGGGTTCTTCATTCACACTTTTGAAATTGTGATTTTTATCTGTAAATCTGATTCCTACTCGCAAATTTGGACTTCATACTCGATAATTTATACATTGAATATTTAAATTTGTGTATTTTGCACAAAGTAAAATGTATTCGTAACTTTGTGATCTGTATCCATAGCTTGTTGATTCGCATCTATAAGTTTGTGAATTGAAAGCAGAAATTTGTGATTTGAATTGTTGTATTTTTTATTTCAATTCAGTTTATTTAATTTATATAGCGCCAATTAACATTACATTACAGTTCAACCAGATCATACAGTCAAATTGATTCAAAGTTTTCCGTCTAAGGAAAACAAGTTGATTGCATTTTGATCAATTCTAGCATCTAAACTCTGACAGATGTAACATCTGATGTCACGGATCTTAAAAGGAACAAATCTTAAATGTATTCCTATATATTGACTTGTGCTTGAAAATTCAGCCCATTCTTTTTATCTTACCCTGCACATAAATCCTTAAATCAAATATTCATTTAATCTTGGATTTAGGTCTGGATTAGACTGGAAATCTGAGTTTGATCTATTTTGCAGGGAAAAGGCAATAAAAACCGTCTCTAGATGCTGAAAGCAGGTAGAAACAAACCCAATAAACCTGCACCTGATTCCAAATCTCCAACTTAGAGGGTTGATAAAAAACGCCACCATTTTCAAAATGTAGTGAAACAATCTTTAAAACCCTGAAGAACTTTCTCAGGGCTCAGCATTTATCCAACTGTGTTGTTCTATCATAAAATCTGCTCCAGTTTGTGTTTTTTAAGGGGAAAAGTAAATAAGACTGAAGGCGATATTGTTACCAGCTGTTGATGATTAATCTGCACTTTGATCAGAGACGGCATGACTCGGCAAAAACAGCCTTATCTAGATCACATTGACCTTTGGTTGAGTCACAAGGACGACAAAAAGAAGAAAAACATGAGGGTTTTTCTCTGAACTTGGAAAGATCCCTTTAATGAACTCTAGCTATTGCTTAAAACATATTTTAGTGTAAATTGAAAATGTTTCTGCCTCCCAAACTTTAACTACAAGTGAAAAAAGTATTTAGTCAGTCAGCCACTGAAGCTCTCCTTCTCAGAGAGATCTGTCATTTTTACAAGGCCAGACTTCAGCTATAAAGAATATATCTCTTAAATGATGGTGGAAAATAAGACTTGTAACCTCTTCTTTCCTTCACTCTTTACCTGTATTAATCCCATCTATTTGAACTTATCTCTATAAAAGACACCTGATCACTGCCTCAAACAGACTCCAAACTCAACCCATGGCCCGAGACCAAAGAGCTGTGGAAGAAGAAAACTTTAGACCTGCAGCAGGCTGGATCTACAATAGTCTGGCAGGTTGGTGAGATTAAACCAGCCGTGGGAGGGAGGCGTGTCCCACTGGTAAAGCTAGCACATGTCCAGGCCCGTCTGAAGCTTACCAGAAAGCAAATGGTTGATCCAGAAGAACATCACATGGTCAGATAGAACCATAATAGAACATTAACTCATCATGTGAGTAGGAAGAAGAATGCTGAGTTCTATCACAGGGAACACCGTACCTACTGTGAAGCATGGGGGAGGAAACATCATGCTTTGGGACTGTTTTTCTGCAAAAGGGAGAGGATAACTGATCCATGTTAAGGGAAGAATAAATGGAGCCAGAAACGAAGAGATTTTAAGCCCAAACCTCTTATCAGTGGGAGAATTGAAGATGAGACATGGCCGATGTTCTGTCAGATGAACAGACCCAGTCAGACCAGCAGACCCAGAGTCAATGCCTGTTTATCCCTTTAGTTTTATCCAAAAAATACACTTTAAACTACCTCAACGGGCGTGTATCCCTTTAGTCATGTACAAAAAACTATTTAATTACTTACTTTTTGGGTGTTTTCTTAAAGCATATGGCGATCGCACCTTAAATTGTTTTTTTGTTCATGACTAAAGGGATACAAACCGTCGAGGTAGTTTAAAGTCTATTTTACATACAAAACTAAAGGGATAAATGCAAACCTGACAGCTTGCTCATGCGTTTTGACTAAGGGTATGCTGGTCTGATGGGGTATGCTGGTCTGACAGAACACCGGGTCTTCCAGCAGTCTTCCGGCTTAAACCGGGCTTATACTGTGCGATTATTTTGCCCTTTTCGGGGTGACTTTCCAGTCGTGCGGAAATTTTTGGATTGGCCCGACTTTCAGCCTGATCGTGCATCGTGTAGTGTACGGGGGGTAACAAGGGGTGATCAGCCTCTCACGACCAGGAATCGTAAAGTCAGGAGAAAATCAAACATGTTTGATTTTCAGTCAACCGTGGTTGGCAAATCGTTCAGTGGGCAAACAAGGATTCTTCTTCTGCTTCGTCTCAGATGAAAACACAGAAGAATGGCAGAGGTGCGAGTGAAATGGAGTTCTTTCAGTATAATTGACAGACCCTAGTAGCCACATTTGCTCAGCCATGTCTATGTCTTTATACGTTGTCTCCTTTTAGGGCTTTCAGCACAAAATTGCACAAATTGCCAAGGCGTTACGTGAGAGTGAAACGCACTGATGTAACGCGCAGACGTACAGTGTGAGCAAGTAGATCACATCAGACCGTCGGGTC